ATTGCCAACCTGTGCTTAGAAATGTGTTTTCATACTTGACATACCACAAAAATCTGATAAATGTAAATATATTAGTCTTTTTCTAAAACAAAAATGACTGCAGAATACCCCTCAATGTCAAACCTCAACATTATTTTTAAGCCTTCCTAAAAGATACTTGTTTCTTTTGAAAATTTACTTTAGTTTGGATTCAATTTACAATTTCATTATAATTCTGACCCTGTGAAGTTACTTGATATTATTATTTGACATTATGAATTTTAGGGGATATATAGACAAATTTAACAGTGTAATTACATCTGTGTATTAATACATAGAGTATATGAGTCAGGTTTTTGCTACATACAGAATCTTAGACTATAGCAGACTGTTCTTAATCATGATTGGATTACTAAGTTTAAAGAATACAACTACTTGCTGTTTCTTGCTTTAATTTCTAGCTACCAACTCATTGAAATTGTAAGACTTCCCTATTCATTTTGTTAGTTACATGAACTTTTAAACACATCAGTATAATATTATAACACATAATTATGAATTTCTGTGTTGCTATCCTCTTTAATTCTACTCTGATAAGGTAACAAATAAGCCAATCTTGTTTCACCAGGTTGATGATAAATAAGAGAATGTAAATGACACAATTGATGATAAATAAGAGAATGTAAATGACACAATTGCAGTATTTCTACTTTCATTGCTCTTTCCCTCCTAGGAATGTTTTTTTCTATTTGTGCAATAAAATTCAGGAGATATGTGGGAGGGAGTGTGTGTGTGTGTGTGTGTGTGTGTGTGTGTGTGTGTGTGTGTATTTGTTAGGATTCACGATGCAAAAAATACCATCTATTCACAATAGTTGGAAAAAATACCTTTTAGTTTTAAGTGTTTTGTTTCATTTAATACTTTAGTAAACACAGTGCCTAAGCACATGCATAATTTTAAGTCTGTACAAGTATGTAAAATAAATCTATCTGACAAATTGTAAATGGCTAGCAGCCATGAACATAGCAATGTTTGTCACTAGAACCTAAAGATACTAAGTAATTTGGTTGAGAAATGAAAAAAGCAGATTTTTAGCCAGCCCTATCAATTTGACTAATAATATACATGACTTATTCTAGCCAATAGCTGTAGTGAAATATACACCCCTCCTGTACCTGTAGCGCTGACCATCCCAGATTGGGCATGGTCACAGGTGCAGACACAGCATAGTTTTAGGTCTGTGGTCAAGGCAATTGGCTCTGTTTTGCAACCTGTTGGGTCAGAGTGAGTAGCCTGTGAGATCCTTAGAGGGGGAACCTGTGGCAGCCATCTGCTTCTTGTGTTAGTGACATCTCCCTGAAATAAATTATATGTAACCTATATTTGAACCTAGTCATGAGAATTATTATCCGTGCCTCTGCAAATAGCTGTTTAAAAAGACTGTATTAAAATAATATACCATAAAACAACAATTATTTTGTTTTTATTTTATATAAATCTAGACATTAATTCAATATAAAATTAAATTACAAACCTGCACACACACATACTTAAAGGGAATAGAAATGGATTTTATGCAGTTTTAGTAACCTCTTCAAATATCTACAAAAACATGAAACAATACAACAATTATATTTATTATTGAGAGTATTGAATTAAAATTAAATTCCACTGTCATTTATAGCATATTGACATCACTTATCAACTTTCAAGCAGACACGTGTTCTCAGAATTCTCTGTATTGATTATTAAAAATTATGGGTAGGAAGCTGATTCCTAGCTATAACAGAAGGACAAGAAACTGCCATGATCAATAAGATGGTTCGGAGACCCAGATCACATCCTGTCAAAAGGTCCTCACAAACTAGTAATGAAAGACAACCTCCCTCAGCAACAGCCATGGCGTTGTTACACACTTTTAATAGAGCAATCCTGAGACCATGATGTTCATGGAATCCTACTTGCAGTGGCTCCAGTGAGTTTACTGATCTCAGGCAAGGCTGCAATTGGATTATAGAGGTTTTCCACACACATGAAATTTGTGGCTTCAGGTATCTCTATAAACCATTTTATTATACATATATATACATATATGTGTATATGAAGGGACTCTAATAGTAAATAAATCTTAATTAGAAACACTTTATAATATTTATTTTAAAATTTAGAACATATAGTAAATTTTATACTAGAAATTAATTATAGAAAATATACAAAAGTAGAATTAACGTTTGGTAGAAAGGATTGAAAACAGGTAAAAGGTAATAGTGAAATTAAATGATTCACTTATTCTAAAACAAACCTCTGTAAATACTCAAATCCTATGGACATGCAATTTCCCTCAATCATTCACTTTAACTGTTCTGAGAAAACTTAAAGAATTTTGGGCTCTTTGCTTTTGTGTGTTTTCAAGTTTAAAGATTTTGAAAAACTCCTTATGAAGGTACAAATGGTGACCAAATCAGTGATTCAAAACTGAAAGAGTGAACCTGGTAGCTGGAGATATATGTTGTCTCAGAGACTGCTCCATTATTGCTTCAAACTTTCTTGAACATTATCACCTCCAGATTCTAGAAGATGAGAAAACAGAAATATATATATATATATATATATCATATCAACCCCAGTTCCCACTCCCATGCACCACAACAATTCCCCATCCCATCCACCATCTACTCCCTAAGGAAGTTGAGGCCTCCCATGTGTTCCCCCCAAATCTGTCAATCATTTGGGGCAGGGCCTATGCCCTCCCCTGTGTATCTAGGCTAATAGAGTATCCTTCCATGGGAAATGGGCTCACCAAGTCTGTTCATACTCTAGGGATACATCCTGGTTCCCTGCCAGAGGCCCCATAATGTTCAGTGCTCCCAGTTGACACCCATGTTTAGGGGGTCTGGTTTTGTTACCCAGCAATCAGATTGGTAACCATGAGTTCCCACTTGCTCAGGTCAGCTGTTTCTGTGTTTTTTCCCAGCATGGTCTTGACTCCTTTGTTGGTCACTCCTCCCTCTCTGTAACTCTATTCCAGGAAATTAGCTCAGTGCTTAGCTGTGGATCTTTGCTTCTGCTTCCACCAGTTACTGGAAGAAGGCTCTAGGAAGGCATTTAAGGTAGTTATCATTTTCACTATAGAGGAAGGGCCTTTAAGGTAGCCTCTTTACTAGTGCTTAGGTTCCTAGTTGGGGTCATCCTTGTAGCTCTCTGGACATTTCTCTAGTGCCAGATTTCTCTTGGAATCTATAATGGCTCCCTCTATTATGGTGTCTCTTGTCTTTCTCTCCTCTATTCTTCCCCTGACTCAACCTTCCTGCTCCCTCATGTCCTCCTCCCCCCTCCTCTTCTCCCCTTCTCTTTCTCCAACATCCATCTCTTTTCCCCCATGCTCCCAATTTGTTCAGGGACTCTTGTCCCTTTCTGCTTCACTGGGGGACCTTGTATGTGCTGCCAAATAGAGCAACAGAAATGTATTTCTTCATTAACAAATTATAAATTTTCTAATGAGCTACATCACTTTCTCCATTTTTCTAAAAGATGAGCCTCAACTTACTGTAGCAATTCCTGTGAAGCAATGCTTAAGTTTGTACATGCTTCAACCTTAGCCTCTACCCTGACAACTCAACAAAATTTTCATGTTCAAATATTTCCTAGACTCAACTCTTAATTTTAAGATTCCTAATATGCGAATAGTTTGGCTTATTTAAACACATTTTTGGCACAAATTGTGTCTAGTTTGTTACATAAAATAATGTTTTTCATAGATTAAAGACTGTCAGACATATTTATTTTTTAGTTATAAATTGCTGGCAGAGCACAACTCTGTATATGTTCCCAAGGCTGAACTTTTCATTCTGTAGAGTATGGCTGGAGTTATTATTAAAGGATGATTGAATGAAAAAAGAAATGCTTCCTCTGACAATGGAAAGTATTAGTCATCATTTTCCACATAGAAATTGTGTGAGAATGCCTAGTAAATTGCCTGGCATGTATTAATTGCCCAACAGTGGCTAGGAAAATCTACATTTGAATAAACCTATTCACAGGAGATTCAGACTTACTGCAGAAAAGGATCTTCACCTGACTGTTTCAATAAACATTTAAAGAACAATAAAGCTCTGAATATTTAGTAATAAATGCTGAGAAACCCAGCACAATGGGATTATTTTTCACACATTGAAATAGTCTGCTGAAAGATTTATTTTCCATCATACATTAGTAAACACTCCATGAAGGACCACCATGGTGCAGGAGAAGGGTGACATGAGTACGGTAGAAACTGGAGAAGTATTATGCAACCTGACTGAAAACTTAAATTGAAATAACTCTCAGTGATCCTTTATAGTAGTGAGAATATTACTTCCTAGTATATATCTGAGAATGATATCAGAAATAGATTTTTTGCTAACTCGTTTTTAAGAATCTAATGTGTATTTACTGCTTCTGATATTATTTGCATGATAATAAATTACTTGTTTTTACTGTTAATTAAGCATTGTAATTCTAGAAAAAATGTAAAGCTGTATTAACAATATATTAAGAACATGAACTAATAATATTGTACCAAGAATATTTTTGTATCAATTCATGATGAAGTTTAGTAATATAGTCTTGTTGTACTGTTGCCATCAGCAAATGGTAGGCTTACATGATGCCTAGGAAAACACTCATTTTCCTTTCTTACAATTTGTGTATTTTTGTTTAAATATATATTGAAATTCAGGAAAAATAATAAAGGACTGGCATGAGATTTATGGATGGATTTAGTATAAAGTTCAGTACCTATCACAGATATATCTGTGCTGGGTTATCTACTTTTTTGTACCATAAAATTTAGTATGATTTGTTTTTTACAATGTTATTCATTTAAATATTAACTATAATATTCATTAACACAGAAATGAAAATCACTTTACTTATTAATATTTTATATGTCCATACTGCTTTCTTTTGTTTCCATATACCTCAAATGCTCACTTCATGATAGGAACATTAGTCTAATCCTAAATTAGTGACACTTTACAAATACCTGATCATTGATCATCAAATTGACATTTGAGAGAAAGAAATTGGAAAACTTGTCCCTGTCCATAAGAGGGGAGAGAGGATGGCTAATCTACATAAATGTGTTGTGGTGGCTGAACTGACCTTGAATTTAGCCACAATTTTTGTATTGATAATAATTAATTGCAAAAATAATTACTAGTAATATAAGAATTTAGTAATAGGTTTAATTGTATATTTGATATGGGAACTCATTATTTTTTCTCCACTTTTTATTTAAATTAGAAACAACATTATTTTATATGTCAATCCCATTTCCCTCTCCTTCCCTGACTCAACTAACATGCTACCTAACAAATACCATTTCTGCTCCCCAGGGAGAGTGAGGCCTACACTAGGGATAAGTACTGATCTACTACAAGAGTCCCTATAGATTTTCAAGGCCTCCTTCTGACATCCACATATATGGGGTGTGGATCAGTTCCATGCTGGTTTCCCAGGGATCAATCAGGGGGCCAAGAGCTCTCTCTTGTTCAGGTCAACTGTTTCTGTGGGTTTCACCAGCCTTGTTATGACCTCTTTGCTCATCACTCCTCCTTTTCTGCAACAGGATTCCAGTTCAGTTCAGTGTTTAGCTGTGGGTGTCTGCTTCTACTTCCATCAGTTGCTGGATGAAGGCTCTAGGATGGCATATAAGTTAGCCATCAATCCCATTATCAGGGGAGGGCATTTAAAGTATTCTCTCCACTGCTGCTTGGATTGTTAGTTGGTGTCATCCTTGTAGATTTCTGGACATTTACCTAATGCCTGATTTCCCTTTAAACCTATAATAGTTCCCTCTCTTATGGTATCTCTTATTTTGGTCTCCTCTATTCTTTCCCCTACACAAACTTCTTGCTCCCTTACGTCCTCTTCACCCCTCCTCTTCTCCCCTTCTCATACTCTAGATCCCTTTCCTATCTCCACATGATCCCAATTTCCTCAGGTGATATTATCCCTTTCCCCCTTCTCTGGGGGACCATGTATATCTCTCTTAGGGTCCTCCTTGTTTCCTAGCTTCTCTGGAGGTGTGGATTTTAGGCTGGTAATCCTTTGCTCTACATGTAAAATCCATACATAAGAGAGTGCATACCATGTTTGTCTTTTTGTGACTAGATACCTCACTCAGAATATTTTCTTCTAGTTACATCCATTTGTCTGGGAATTTCAAGATTCCAATATTTTTCTTTCTTCTGAGTAGTATTCCATTGTGTTAATTACCACATTTTTTCTATTCATTCTTCAGCTGAGGGGCATCTAGGTTGCTTCCAGTTTCTGGTTATTATAAATAATGATGCTATGAATACAGTTGAACAGATGTCCTTGTTATATGAATGTGCATCATTTAGTTATATGCCTAAGAGTGGAATTGCTGGATTTTTTGGTATATTGAGTCCCATTTTCTGACAGGAGTAAGATGATATCTCAGAGTTTTTTTGATTTGCATTTCCCTGATGGCTAAGGATGTTGCACTTTCTTATGTGTCTTTAAGCCATTTTCGATTCCTCTATTGAGAATTCTCTATTTAGTTCTGTACCCCCCTCCATTGCTGGATTGTTTGGTGTTTTGGAGACTAGCTTCTTGAGTTCTTTGTAAATTTTGGAGATCAGGCCTTTGTCAGATATGGGGTTGGTGAATATCTTTTCCCATCCTGTAGGCTGCCATTTTGTCTTGCTGACTGTGTCCTTTGCCTTACAGAAGCTTCTCAGTCTCAGGAGGTCCCATTTATTAATTGTTGATCTTAGTGTCTTTGCTACTGGTGTAATGTTCAGGAAGTTCTCTCCAGCACCAATTAGATCAAGGGTATTTCCTACTTTCTCTTCTATTAGGTTCAGTGTGGCTGGATTTATGTTGAGGTTTTGATCCATCTGGACGTAAGTTTTAAGTTTTGTGCATGGTGATAGACATGGATCTATCTGCAGTCTTCTACATGCCAGCATCCAGTTATAGCAGAACCATTTATTGAAGAAGCTTTCATTATTTCATTGTACATCTTTAGCTGCTTTGTAAAAAATCAGGTTTCAAGACAACAAGAGGGCTGAGAAAAAAATCAGAGAAATATCACCCTTTAAAAAAGCCATAAACAACATAAAATATCTTGGGGAACCACTAACAAAACAAGTGAAAGACCTGTATAGTAAGAACTCTGAATCTTTAAAGAAAGAAATTGAAGAAGATACAAGAAAATGGAAAGATCTCCAATGCTCTTGGAAAGGTAGGATCGACATAGTAAAAATGACAATCTTGCCAAAAGCAATCTAAAAATTTAATGCAATTCCCATCAAATGCCAGCACAATTCTTCACAGATCTTGAAAGAATAATACTCAACTTCATATGGAAATACAAAAGACCCAGCATAGCCAAAACAACCCTGTACAATAAAGGAACTTCGGGAGGCATCACTATTCCTGACTTCAAGTTCTCTTAGAGAGCTACAGTCCTGAAAACAGCTTGGTATTAGCACAAAAAGTGACAGGTAGACCAATGGAATCAAATTGAAGACCCTGATATCAAACCACATACCTATAAACA